ATTACTTGTATAACCTGGGGATCACCTGCCAGGCTATGGTATAACAGTAGTACTCCCTCCCCCTGTCCCCTCCCCCCCCCAAAGTTGGTGCCAGAGGACATATACTACCCAGGAAGGGGCTCCAAGTCTTGAACATAACCAGATACCTCCTTGTTAAATACCAGCTTAATATCAATCCACCACTTTGCTGGCAGCCAGTGTAGAGGAATACAGGATGCATGTAATATGATCATAGGCTGGTTGCTCAGTCCAGTGAGTTAATGTGCTGCTGCATTCTGCACAAGCCGAAAGAGGCATAGAAGCCCTGCTAAGAGGGAACTGAGCTTTTGTAATTACAAGATCATGTGCTGCTGTTGCAAAATGACTGTGAAATAAATAAGGGCGCAGGCTGCAGAAGTTATGCAGCTGAAACAGTCAAACAACATGCAAAACATGACTGTCCATGGAAATAGCATAGCTGAAAGAAATCCGAGGTTCTTAATGCGCTGCCGAAACACCCCCCACGATGCCCGGCCGGAAAAAACAAAAGAAAAAACCCTTGAGCGCCGCCCCGCCGAAAAAAAAACACAACAACAACAACAAAAAAAACCCACCGCGAGCGCCCCCCGCCACCCCAACATTGGCCGCCCCTTCTCAGGTGCCGCCCCAAGCACGTGCTTGGTTGGCTGGTGCCTGGAGCCGGCCCTGGCAACAACTATCTAGTAGCAAGACTTCTCTCTTTCTCAAGCAGACCTGAATATCTAGTGGATAAATGACTGGATAATATTGCCTAAGTCAAAAGGTGAACTAGAAAAGATTTTGTTAAGAGATCTTCTCTCTCTCTGTACATGTATGTGTACACACCCACACACCCACGCCCTTGGGCAATTTGGAAGATAACAGAGCCATAATGGATGCTGAATTGTAAATACAACAGTGACCATACATCAACATCTTTGACTGACTTCTGTCTTCCGTAACAAAGTATTAAACTTTGTGTGTTAGGATCTTGTACTTATTCAAAAGAAAGTGAAATTCAATGAGATTATAACATTAAAGAGTCTCAGTCTTTTTTCAAAGAAAAATATATTAATAGCAGACAATCTCTCTCTCCTCCTCCCCCAATTTAAAATTTCTTCACAAGGGGCCAACAGATACTGTATATACATTTGCTTCAATAGCTGAAACTTGTGGCTAATACAGTGTTGTCTGCTGATTAGAGCAGAGAACTGGGAGGACGTTCTTTTATAGTCTGGGATATACCACTCACTGACTATGTAACAAGTCCTTAGGCTTCTTGTGCTTCCTATAGTCCAGATGATTAGAAATACATAACCTATCTCCGCTGAACATCCCTAGTTAATAACAACACATCTCAGGAAAGATGCAGTGTCTATTACTGAAGGGCATGCATAATACCCATTAAGATTTGCTCAGTTTTTCTACTAAAAATATTATATTTCAATAACAAACTCTACCTGGCACATTTATTTTGGGCATGAGTTAGGCATATAGTCTTATCCCAGGGATAATTTTTTCCCATCCCCCAAAACTGAAACAAATATTTCAAATTGATGTAGCAGTTTGAGAAGCTTTCTTATACTTGTAAAACAAAATATACAACTTATTAAAATACATAAAATGTTGCAAATATGTCTAAAATACGGACTGTATCCTTGTTATTTTAACTTTAAACATTTAAAAAGGTTTTATTTATGATTTTTGTTGTGGTATCACCTAAAAGCCCCAATCAGGGATCAAGTCCCTATTACTGTACGTACACATACACACTCACACAGAAAAGACAGCATTCTATTACCATAGCCTTAAATTCAGACTTGAGTAAAATAAACCTACGCTATGTTTTGAAATTGCTGCTTCTCATCAAGAGCAGTTTCAGTCTCAGCCACGTTAAAGGGTCCAAGAAACTCAGAAAAAAACCTCTGTGACCTATTTGTAACTGTTCTTTTGATGTGATGCAGATGTGTATACTACTTATAGTTACTACTAAGGTGTGTGCACCACCGGAGCTGGAACTTTGACTAGCAGTACCTGTAGTGGTGATGTTCACACCCTGCCGCCTTAGCCCCTCCCCTGGCCATATAAGGGCAGCATCACTCTGACCCCCCTCTTTTCCTTTGCATCAAATGTCAGACGGCGGGTGGGTCGTGGAATACACATCTGCATCACATCTCAAAGGACAACAGTTACAGGCAGGTAACCACTTTTTTTTCTTTGAGTAGATGCAGTTGTGTGTTCTACTTAGGTGATTCATGAGCGGTATTCGTAGGAGGTGGGGCTTGGAATTTATTTAAACAAGGACTTCAGGATTGCATTCCCAAAGTTTGCATCTGATCTGGATGCAGCAGGAGTGGCACAGTGGTTTGTAAAAGTATGCACAGAGGACCATGTGGCAGCCCTGCAAATGTCTAATATAGAAAAGCCACCTAGGAATGCCATCAGCATTGCCTGGGCTCTTTTGGGATGAGCTCACACCCTTTGAGGGGGGTGTAGCCTGGGCTAATTCATATGCTGCTATGATACAGGAAGTTATCCACCTGGACATAGATTCAGAAGAGACTGCTTGATCCTTCATTCAGTCTGCATATGAGACAAACAAACAAGATGAGTAATGGAATGATTAGGTCCTAGCTAGATAAAAAGCTAAACATCGCCTGACATCCAGTGTGTGAAGATATTGATCTCTGGTGTTGAATGCTGCTTAGGGAAGAACACTGGTAAATACACAGCTTGGTTCAGGTGTTACTGGGAAACCACTTAAGATAAAAACTTGGGGTTGGCCACAGGGGTACTTTGTCTTTAGCAAATTGTGTGTAATGGGGCTTCACCATAAAAGCTGCAACTCCCTCACTCTCCTTGCAGATGTTATAGCAACACCTTTCTGTCTTGTGTCAAAGACAGTATTATGGTCCCACAAAGGCTCTTTTACCAGCCGGTGGAGACAAGTGACTCCTTTCAAGAACGTTACTGCCACCAACTTCCCATAGATGAGCAGATAAAATGCCTAAATCACCATCAGGTGGACTCTCAGTGAACTAAGAAAAAAGACCAGGAGACTGAAGATGTAACAAATACTCCAGGATGTCCTGGAAACAAGCCAGCTTTGGATGAAGTCCCCAGGCTAACACCCATATCAAAAAGCCCAGTAGTTCTGTCACAGGGCCAGAAGGTACCAAAGGTACAATGGAGGATGAGGTGGCAGAAGCCATGGCAGCAGCAAACTCTTGTACCAGTGGAGAGTCCGGGTCTGAGAGGCAAAATAGGTCTCATGCTGCCTGGTATGCCACTGGTGCGAAGACAGTTGGCACTAGTGGCAATTTCATCAATCCTGGACTCAATGGACACCCCATGGCTGGAACTGGAGCCGACCGTATGGGCTCTGGCTGATCTCAGAGAGCAGTAGAAGGACCTGCTCCATCCTGCATGTCAGAGGGAGCACGGTGCCAGGCAGCACTCCTCTTAGGAGACGAGGATAAGTCTCCCCAAGTCCTGGAATTGTCCTGATTCATTGTGTGGGACCCCTTCCCAGGGAAGGGGGAATGACCCCTCTTCCTCTTGAGGGAAATGGCAGAGCCCAAGCATGGAGTGGCATCATTTGCCAGAGCTGAAGGCAACCGCTGATCAGACAAGGGCCTTGGGGTTGAAGTGGGCCTCATGGCCTGCTCCACTAGGTGCTGCTTCAGTCGCCAGTCTCTTGCCACCTGACTCCTCTTAGCGAATAATGCAGATGGAACACTGCTCTTTAGTATGTCCCTCACCCAGGCACAACAAGCACCTCATGTGGGGATCACTATTGGGATGGCCCCTCCACACACGACAGACAAGGTTTGAACCCTGGTGAGGGCACCACACAGGGCAGCCAACTGCTCTAATTAATACTAAACTAACTCTAAACTTAACCTAAGGTATTACTAACTACTATATACAAGACAATTCTCTCAGGAACTGAGGCTCAAAGCATGAGGTGAGAAACACCACACAGATCATCTATTCCAGCCATGGGAGGTGAAAAGGAACTCAGGGAATTGGGGTGGCACCACCCTTATATGGCCAAGGGACGGTCTATGGTCACAGGGCACGAGCGCTGCCTCTATGGGTACTGTTAGGCAAAGTACTCTGGTTCCGGTGCACTAGGCGTGCACACGCCTATGCAGGAAGGAAGCAGAATACACGGCTGCATCTACTCGAAGAAGAATTAGGATATACCAAATTTAAGGATCAGTCTTTTACTCATAATATTTCGCTTTTGTACTCTGTGGGTCTGTAAATGGTAGATGACTATTCAGCACTGAGGGACAAATTCAGACTAGGTTTAGAGAGATACAATGCCATGAAGTTCACTGGAATTACACTTGTTTACACCAGGTTAGAATTTCATCCCTAGATAGTAATAGTTCCCTATTTTAAAATGTTATAATAGGAATAATAGTTAGAGATCTCCAAATTGATTCTCCTGATCCTAGACAGATACTGTTTTATGTACAGTTATATATTATCAGTGCACTGTTATTGTATGCATGAAAGCTGGTCTTTATCATCAGACTGATAGCATTTTTATGAAATAATGCAGCTCATTAACTACATTATCTAATAATGTTGCTCAAAGACATGCCAAGGAGATTTATAAAAGGGCAGGGATACTATATCAGTAGAAAAGAAACAAATGCTGAACTTCCAACACCTCCAAGAAGGACATTCTTTGTATAAACACAAGATAGCTTTTGCATCAGATGGATAGCTTCTGAGTTGAAAGAAAAAATAATGAGTCATGTCTAAAAAGCAACTGACACTATAGGCAATGGGCTTCACCTCGTTCTGTTAATAATTTCTTGCTACAAATCATATTTACATTTAAAACCAGTGAAAGATACTGACTGTCAAAAATAAAAAGGATATAATCACTATTGTTAATCTATAGAGATGGATCCAACACTAAACAAGTTAAACATTGCTACCAAAAGGTAGAGTCTAGCATTATACACAGCTGTATAAGAACTTACAGTGCACTTTCCATATCTGCTATACTTCCTTCCATTTTCTGTCACTATGTAGAGGTAAATGAAGTTGTCATGGGATCCTACTGCAAGTAACATGCCATCTACAATTGAAGTTTAAAAGATAATAATGTTAACATACTGTTTTCTGAACTGGAATGAGTTCAGATTTAATACCAATGCATTATCATCAATCATACAATTGTGAATGAGCTAGAACCCAAGGGCATGTAACTAACTATAACATAAGAACATAAGAAAGGCCGTACCGGGTCAGACCAAAGGTCCATCTAGCCCAGTATCCTGTCTACTGACAGTGGCCAATGCCAGGTGCCCCAGAGGGAGTGAACCTAACAGGCAATGATCAAGTGATCTCTCTCCTGCCATCCATCTCCACCCTCTGACAGACAGAGGCTAGGGACACCATTCCTTACCCATCCTGGCTAATAGCCATTAATGGACTTCACCACCATGAATTTATCCAGTTCTCTTTTAAACTCTGATATAGTCCTAGCCTTCACAACCTCCTCAGGTAAGGAGTTCCACAAGTTGACTGTGCGCTGCGTGAAGAAGAACTTCCTTTTATTTGTTTTAAACCTGCTGCCTATTAATTTCATTTGATGACCCCTAGTTCTTGTATTATGGGAATAAGTAAATAACTTTTCCTTATCCACATCACTCATGATTTTATATACCTCTATCATACCCCACCTTAGTCTCCTCTTTTCCAAGCTGAAGAGTCCTAGCCTCTTTAATCTCTCCTCATATGGGACCCATTCCAAACCCTTAATCATTTTAGTTGCCCTTTTCTGAACCTTTTCTAGTGCCAGTATATCTTTTCTGAGATGAGGAGACCACATCTGTACACAGTATTCGAGATGAGGGCATACCATCGATTTATATAAGGGCAATAATATATTCTCAGTCTTATTCTCTATCCCCTTTTTAATGATTCCTAACATCCTGTTTGCTTTTTTGACCGCCTCTGCACACTGCATGGACATTTTCAGAGAACTATCCAGGATGACTCCAAGATCTTTTTCCTGACTTGTTGTAGCTAAATTAGCCCCCATCATATTGTATGTATAGTTGGGGTTATTTTTTCCAATGTGCATTACTTTACATTTATCCACATTAAATTTCATTTGCCATTTTGTTGCCCAATCACTTAGTTTTGTGAGATCTTTTTGAAGTTCTTCACAGTCTGCTTTGGTCTTAACTATCTTTAGCAGTTTAGTATCATCTGCAAACTTTGCCACCTCACTGTTTACCCCTTTCTCCAGATCACTTATGAATAAGTTGAATAGGATCGGTCCGAGGACTGACCCTTGGGGATCACCACTAGTTACCCCTCTCCATTCTGAGAAGTTACCATTAATTCCTACTCTTTGTTCCCTGTCTTTTAACCAGTTCTCAATCCATGAAAGGACCTTCCCTTTTATCCCATGGCAGCTTAATTTACATAAGAGCCTTTGGTGAGGGACCTTGTCAAAGGCTTTCTGGAAATCTAAGTACACTATGCCCACTGGATCCCCCTTGTCCACATGTTTGTTGACCCCTTCAAAGAATTCTAATAGATTAGTAAAACACGATTTCCCTTTACAGAAACCATGTTGACTATTGCTCAACAGTTTATGTTTTTCTATGTGTTGGACAATTTTATTCTTAACTATTGTTTCGACTAATTTGCCTGGTACAGATGTTAGACTTACCGGGGAGGGATAGCTCAGAGGTTTGAGCATTGGCCTGCTAAACCCAGGGTTGTGAGTTCAATCCTTGAGGGGGCCACTTAGGGATCTGGGGCAAAATCAGTACTTGGTCCTGCTAATGAAGGCAGGGGGCTGGACTCAATGACCTTTCAAGGTCCCTTCCAGTTCTAGGAGATAGAATATCTCCATTAAATATAAAATATACTATACTGCTTTCCAATTGGTCTCCTATTTCCCCCCCTATTTTCATGGTGGTTGTGATTATGGGGTAAGTGAGTTTGCTTCCCACTATGTCTTGGATAAACAGGGCTACCATTGGACAGGGAACTAGGCTAGCTAATGAATCCTCAGGTTTGCACTGGACTTCTGATAACGGCTGACAACGTGCAGCCCCTAAAGTTCTGAGTTTTGTGAGTCACTGGAGATTATCTCCAAAGAACAGTTTATTTTTTTAAAAATGTAAAGTTATTACACATGAATCAATGCTAATCAGAGGCTAACTTCACAACATCTTCAACAAAGTCACCTTAGCACAGTATTTAAACATTACAAGCTGTTTTCTAATAACAATAAAGGTCCATGGTACTATTAACCATTTCACTGCCTGGGAACATGATCAAACTCCTCTGTAGCACCAATGAATGTGAGTGCTCTGAAATGAAATGCTGTTGTTGGTAAATAGGGCAGCAGTAGAGGTAAGTTTTGCCCAATTTACCTGGCACGTTATACAACAGCAAACATGAAACAGGCTTGTCAGACTTCTCTTCCATCCAGTCAGAAGAGAGGATTCAACTACTGCCTGTTTGTCAGACTCTCCTATGATGACCTTGGGTTTTATTCAGTAAGAGGATACCTTTCCACATAATCTTACACAAATAATTAATAGCAAATGGCCTTTAGTTTGAGAGACACCTGAATTTAACTGTATTGTTTTTGTATTAATACATTTTAAAACTTAAGTGAATAATAATTACAATAAAAACTGTTTAAGATCTTAAAACATTCAAAGAATATTCGGGCACACTTAAAAAGTTACAAATACATCTTAAAATCAAGCTTTCCTTGCTTCATTTACCTTACCTTTACATTCAGTTTAGAGTTACTGAATTCCCCTGAAAGAAATGATGACATCACATCACAACCACCTATACAATGGGTGCCGTGTTAGGCAACAGTGATGTTTGCAGAGATAGAACAGCAAATATAAAACTGTGAATTCCAGTGCAGGCAAAATGCAAATGAAGCTGTAATTGTTAATTTACACATATTTTGTTAATGATCTTAAGCAATTTTTTTAAAAGCTCTGCAGCTCCTTATTATTGGAGGGTAATTTGATGAGTGTAACACGTTAATAACTTAACAGCTCCAGAGAAGTGCAGGAAAAACACCTATTTTATTGGAATTAAAACATGCAATTACAATGAAGTGCCCAGAATACACAGGAAATTTGCCTACCTACTGAGTAGCGCATCACTGAAAGCTGTTCATTACCATCAGTGTGTATTGAAACCAGGTCTCTTGTTTCTGCATCCAAAACAAACCACCTGTTAAGAAGAGAGTTCTAGTGAGTGTTACTACTACTTAAACAAAACCAAAAAAAAAGTAAAAACGAATGATCACTGCATTCTATCGCACTGCTTATTAGCATGCTATCCTTCAATGTATCGTATTAACTTGTTTTAATTAAACATTTTCTCTTTGGTTTCTGGGTTTACAAAGTAATGTATATTCCAGTGACAGATATACAAGCATGCCAAAATACCACTATATATATTCTTGAATATAGAGTAGTTATTAGCATATCATGTAATGTAGATGATACACATGCTGGTGGACATACAATGTGACTACAGCAGGTCCCTGCTAGAGCCCACTATATTTTAGGTTGCAAAACAGCTTCAATTATAATCTCACATTTTCACATACTTTCTGAAAAATTCACATTTGGGCCTGAAATTTTCCATCCTTGGTCTCTACCTGCAGATGAATTCTTCTGGAAAATTTGAACAAAATCTCTGCAGTCATTTTTGAGTCCATACTTTTCTCTGTTCAGCTGAAGTTTGAAACTAGTGCTTTTTGCTTATTTAGAAAAAGTGGCTTTGATTTAAAAACCTGAATTGAAACTTGCATACAGAATGGAGACGAGTAAGTAGTGGGGGGAAAAGCATCTGCAAATACCCATTTGAGGTAGAAAGTGAATTCTGATTTGATATTTTCTGCAATCCTTCATCTTTACTTTCTGTGAATATTTAAATTATAGATTCAAATAGAAAAATTCACAATTTACCCCAGGTAAATTAACTATATAAATTACCTGGCATTCCTTCTGTACCAGAATAGGTGACCTATGTAACTAATTAAATACAGCACAAATTGAATTTTACTAATATGATTGAATATACACTTCAAAATCCATGACGTTTATTAGTTTTGTAAATAGCATAAGTTACAGTGTGATTCGCAAACTGTATCTTCTATTGTGATATTGTATGTTAAATATTTGAATAATCTGTAGACCAAGATTATTCAGTGGGGCAGTTCAGAAAGAATTAGGAGTAATGAATAAATTTGAGAATTTTCATTGCAAACCTGAACTGAATTCAATTGAAAGGATTTCAAAAGAGAAAAAGGCAAAATATCACCACATATATTATTTACTGTAAATAATCTGGTCAGCTCCAGTACTGAGCATGCCCAGTAGAGAAATGTCATTAAATCTACAGCTCCACACTTAAACACATACATACTGTATGCCAGTGTGAAGCTAGGCAGTTGGTTCAAGGAATTTAGAAGTTTTACTTCAAGATGAATAGGTCTACAGCCAGGAATGTAAATGGCCTGTTAACCAAGGGCTAGACTGTGACTGTAGGCAAGCCCTGAGCAAGGGGTAGTGCATAAACTGCACTACTCTAGTAGTCTCAAGAGGCACTGTGATTGAGAGAGGTATCTCTGAATCACAATTCCTCCCTTACTATCTCCTTGTTCTGCAAGCGTGGTCATTTCCTATTGGTCTATACCAGGTATAGGCCCTGCCCCTTCCAGACCTCACAGGGATGTCTTGGTACCGCAGGCAGCAGCCATGACTTCCACATGCAGCACAAGCAGCAGGGTCAGTTCTAATGGCTGAAGATGGAAACTGCAGGCAGCTTAGGCAACATTCTTGTTATATATATATTCTTGTCTATACCATCCAAGTTTCTGATAATATAATTAGAATTAGGAAAACGGTATCCTTTGTTATTAATGTATAGCATAAAACTTCTCCTTGGGCTGCCACTTTGACATGGTGGAGAAGCTTGCTTAAGACCCTAAGAGCGATGCCGTCTGGACTCCTGTACTCCTGGTAGGGTCACCCATGGTGGTAAGGTCGAAGGCGATGTACCAAAGTACAACCCAGCACAACACAACTCAGCATAAGACCTCAATGGCAGAATAGGTTGATGAAGCAGGATCACCTCTCAATGGCTGCAAAGGCGGACAAAGGCTGCAATGGAGTAGAAACCCCCGGTTGTCTTGGACGTCCTTGCCACTGAACACAGATGCCTCTTCCACCAAGATGTGTGTGGTTGCTGGCGCACATCAGCTCCCCCACATTAAACTATTCACATGCAGGCTTCTTTCACAGGAAGAACTTTTTCCCGCCCCCTCCCCATAAAAATCCTGAGGCGATGGGCGAGTGGTGACGGGAATAGGTGAAGTGATCACCAGGAGTCCCTAGTCAGAGACCTACATGCAGGCAGTGATCTCAAGATGGTCATCATGTGCCCCTGGACTGGGTAGGGGAGCATTTTCAGCAGCAGCGGTCATGACTGAGCAGGCCTTTTCAGGAACCCCTCTGCTCACCTCATACGGAGAAGGGGCTAGAAAAGGTACCCCAAACATGGGCTATCCCACCATACCTGACTGGATAACTGCGTCCAGAGGGATCACTCCCAATGTGGTGGAAAAACAAAAATGTTTCTTACAACTTGGAATGTCCATATCCTACTTAGACGAATCAAAAGATGAAAGACCCAAACGCAGAACAAGCAATTGCTGCCCGAGAACTCTCGAGGTACAACATCGACATCGCTGCTCTCAGCGAAACAAGACGTGCAGATGAAGGCCACTTGAGGGAAGAGGGCGATGGTTACATTTTCTTCTGGAAAAGAAAACCAGCAAGCAACAGGCGAATACACGGTGTTGGGTTTGCAATAAAATATCTTCTAGTCAACCACCTGACTGAGCTCCCCGTTGACATCAATGAGCACCTTATGACCCTCTGCATCCAACTGGTCAATAAGGCATTTGCCACTATCATCAGTGCATATGCACCAACTCTTGATGCTGAAGAACAGAAAGAATCCTTATACACTGACCTTGATAAAATTTTGTCATTCATTCCAAAAATGGATAAGATAATCCTTTTAGGGGAGTTTAAGGCAAGAGTTGGCCGAGATTCTAATGTATGGAATAGCACTATTGGGAAGGAAGGAGTGGGCAAGACCAATTCCAATGGCATCCTTCTACTCAGCAAATGTGCAGAGCACGACCTTGTGATCACAAATACAATCTTCAGACAAAGCAACAAGTACAAAACAACTTGGCAACATCCCCACTCAAAATAATGGCACCTCCTAGACTACGTCATTATAAGAACACAGGATCTAAGAGATGTCCAAATCACCCATATCATGAGAGAAGCCGATGACTGCTGAACTGACCACTGCCTGGTGAGGTCAGTCATGTCCATCAGGATTGCACCGAAACATAGAAAGCAATCCAAATCACATAGATGGCAATACAACATCCAAAGACTTCAATCCTCAGTGCACCAAGAGAACTTCCAAACGTTCCTCAGTGAAAAACTCGCCACCTGGAAATGACAACACAAGTGTCAAAGAAGACGGGGAAGCCCTAAAACAGACCATCCATGAGGTCTGCGAGGAATGCATTGGCCTTGCTACCTGCTGCCATCAGGACTGGTTTGACAACAACAACATTGAGATTACAGCCATTTTGGACCAGAAGAGAAAAATTTTCTGTGACTGGCAAAACCAACCACTATCCAGTCAGAAGCAGAGCTCTTTCCATCAGCTCAAAGCTGAAGTTCAAAGGAGAATCCAAGAAATCAAAAACAAATGATGGGAGGACAAAACAAAAGAAATCCAAACATTCGCTGACAGACATGATAAGCGGAGCTTTTTTGTGAGACAAAGACTCTGTACGGACAAAGCTCATGTGGCCTCACATCCCTGAGATCCGAAGATGGTAGTCCCCTTCTTAAAGATAACGAATCCATCAAAGAGCGCTGGAAGGAACACTACCAAAAGCTTCTAAATTGAGAATCGATTGTGACGGACGACACCACTGACTCCATCCCTCAGCACCCAATCTGGAAAACTCTTGCCAACCCACCAACACCTGAGGAGGTCTGCAAAGCAATTAAACAAAGCACCAGGTCCTGATGGCATACCAGCTGAAGTACTGAGAGTGGGGGGAGAAACACTAGCTTCACTTGCTGCTCCTCAAAATCTAGCGCACAGAAGAAATCCCTGCTGACTTACATAATGCTAACGTTGTCAACATTTTCAAAAGGGAGACAGGGCCAACTGTGGCAACTATCAACTCATTGCCCTCCTCTCCATCTCTGGGAAGATTCTTGCTAGAATCTTACTGAATCGCCTGCTCCCTCTTGCAGTAGTAGTATTTCCAGAGTCCCAGTGTGGTTTCAGACCATCACAAGGCACAACTGACATGATTTTCCAGCCAGGCAGATCCAGGAAGAATGTCAAGAACAACACTAGGAGCTGTATGTGGCTTTTATCAATCTGACCAAAGCCTTAGACTCTGTCAACCATGAGGCTCCGTGGAAAATCATGTCAAAATTTGGCTGCCCAAGCAAATGTATCACCATTGTAAAACTCCTCCATGACCAGATGACTGCCTCCACCCTGTGAGGTGGCTCTACCCTGAGCCCTTTGTCATCCAAACTGGCGTAAAACAAGGCTGTGTGCTGGCACCCACCCTTTTCTCCATTTTCTAAGCAACTGTAAAAACATTAACCCAAGACCATCTACCACAGGACAATGGCATCCAATATCGGACTGACGGCAACCTCTTCAACCTTTCTCGTCTCCATGCCAGAACTAAAGTAATATCAGCAACAACAACAGAACGCCAGTACACAGATGATTGTGCTGTAGTGGCACACTCAAAGAAGGATCTACAAACAGCCCTTAATTGCTTCTCTGAAGCTTACGAAAGCCTACCGCTAACTCTGAACATCAGCAAAACAAAAGTTCTCCACCAGCCAGTCCCTGGTCAATCATCAGACCCAGCAAGGAAGATCTATATTGACAAAGAAGAACTGGAAAATGCAGAATACTTTGCCTATCTTGGCAGCCATCTCTCACAGAGGGTAGAACAGACGTCGAGATTCAGCACAGAATTCATTGTGCCAGCCTTGCCTTTGGCAGACTGTCTCACTCGGTGTTCAACAATCACAACATCAGAACACATACTAGACTTTTAGTTTATACAGCGGTGGTAATCCCAACTCTCC